AAGCTCTTTTGAAGCGAATTCTACTGGTGATATGTATAATATGATATTTCGTAATATACGTATAGCAAATACAAATCGTGGTTTATGTTTAGCACCACATTGGGGATCAGGTAGAATATCAAATATTTTATTTGAACAAATGTATATAGAAACACGATTTTTTGGTTTGGATTGGTGGGGTTCAGCTGAACCTATATATGTAACAGGTCTTTCGATGAGTGTCGATCGACAATGGACAGGAATATTAAATAATGTTACTTTTCGAAATATAATTGCTAAAGGTGAACAAGGTATCATAGTTCGAGGAAATATAAGTATATTACAAAATATTCATTTTGAAAATATTTCACTTGTAATTAATAGATGGAGTAATGTTACTGAACATCCATCACATGATTATCGTCCATCACAAGAACCACAAATGAGTTGGGCAGAAGTTGATGGAATTTTTGCTTTAGATATTAATGAATTTTATCTACAAAATATAAATATTGAATTTAACCAACCTAAACAATATTATTATGGACAATGTTTAAATTTGAATAATATTACACAAATGGTAAAAGTTAATGTTCAATGTTGAAATTTTGTTTTATTACCATTGAGTCAAAAATAAACTTAGAGAATTTTTGTCGAATTGAAATAAAACTTCATTTTTTATTTTAATAATAATAATAAATTTCTTATTTGTGCATTTTTTTTTATGTAGCTTTACAATGTCAAATTGTCGAAATTTCATTTTGTTTGTTTTTTGGTAGAAAAAATGATTGAGAAAATATTTATTTGACCTTTTACACGTCATTATAGGTGTGAAGTGAAGACCTCCAAATCCCACATTCACGTTATAACAAGGGTTAATCAGTATGTTGACTTCACTGTTGATATTTTTCTTTTTAGTATCCTGCACTATTAAGAAACAAAATTCGAAAGTCTTGGTTTAATGCTTGGAGTTCACTTCAAAACTAAAAATAAATATTATCGGTGAAGTCAGCATACTGAATTATCTCTGTCTCGACCTTGTTTCACATCGATTCAAGGTCATTTGGACGAAATCGAGGTCTCTGGGAAATTCTTATAACTCCTGAGTAGACGATACAAATAAGATTGCATTTGCCTACATTGAAAAAGGACAATATTCTCTATCAAACGATCGAATCATAAATAAAAGTCCAATGTAAAATCATTTTAGGATATTGATTTTTAAAACTTGAAACAAAAAATAACCTGATTGATCAATTGCCTATTGCAGGTTCTAGATTTATACGAAAAATATCCCACGTCCACTTCATTTTCAAATGGACAATAGAAAGTTTGCGTTTTTTTTTATATTATCACATTTTTATTGCATTAAATTTTGAAACTATAAGTTTATTATTTATTGTAATAATATTTCTTTTTGCAAAAATAATAACAATTTATACTATATATTTGTCGTATCGAAGTTACACCAGTCGACGAAGTTATAACTTTGTCGACTGGTGTAACTTCGATACGACATATATACCTTTATAGAAAAAAAATATCTCCGAATAAGCATTAGTTTTCGTTTTGTGCCCTGTTTTCTTTTTTTGTTTCTTCGATCTTTCGTCTTTTTCTTCTTTATTGATGTATATTTACGTGTCATCCTCTTATTTTGGTCTCGGATGTGTAAGTTCAGACTGCTTATGTGTATACAGATTATTGAAAATAATTATAAAGAGAGAGAGAGTGATAAAGACTTTAGTCGATATTTTATTGTGTGTAGTTATGGTCATCTTTATTCTGTCTATTTCTCTCTCTCTATCGTTTTCTTTTTGGAGTTAAAACAAATCTTGTATGAATTTTATATAAATGAAGATCATGTCGCTTATGAAAATGATTTTTGGGAAACTCTTTCTAGAACATATCCACGTTCGACATTTTATTCGTGAGTCTTCGCAAAATTCAAAATGGTCTTATCAAGTTTTTTCTTTCTATCTAAAACTAAGAGGCCAATGAATACGAGAATCTACAGCTGTGTGTCTTTCCAGATCGGATCCGGCGCTGAGTCTAGATTCGACTTTTTCTTTTTTGTCGGATCTGAATTCATATTTAGGTTTAAGCAAACATCTAATATGTACTTAACGTCGAATCTAAATGGAATGATGTGAGGGTAGATAATAAGAAATAATTTTATATTAACTTTGCTTTGAAAGTGACCAATGAATAACTATACGCTTAATCCCGTGTTTGGTCATGTACACAAAATGTGGAAAAACTCTAATACATACCCGTCTGAATTCGGGTTCAAAGAAACAAAGATCTGCAATTCCTTACAGGAGAAATTGTCAATTGTAAATCTTCGTTTTCAATCGAATCAATATCAGTTTGTAGAGTTCGATACGTTAATCATGATAGCACAAAGCTTCTGTCCTCGTGAACTGTCTTTGGAAAATTATATCAGTCTTAAGTGAAAAAAAACAACACAGGCTTTTGTTTTCAAGAAACTTCAGCTCAGTTCTGTAGTCAGCAGATGACAATTGAGCAATTACCCACTAATCCAAAATTTATTACCTATGAATTTTTGGGGCTGATAGTAATTGCTCAATGCTACAAAGATTATTATGCATAAGCTTTTGAGATGATGATAGTCGCCCATAGCTGCCAATGGCTCAACAGCGCTTAGTTGGATAATTACCCACTAAATTTACTCAAAAATGTCTAGTTGCACCATTGCTTCAGCTTTTATTTTGCTATAATTTTCATCCTTGAAAACCTTAGTAGTCGATATACTTTAATCGACTTTACATATCCGTACAATTAACCATAATAGAAGTGATGATAATGTTGATATTGCAAATATTCTAAAACCGTAAGACTATAGATGCAGGCAATTCAACTGTTTTCGTCAAATTCATCTAATTCCTTTTGAAATACAAGTATATGCTCAATAATTTACGACACATATTAAAAACATATGCTATTCACGTTTCAATTGCATTTTTTCAAACATTTCACTTGTTCGTACTGCCTTTTCTCCAATACTATTCATTTCTGAGTAATTTTTAAATCGACTCGTTTTAATCAATTAAAAATGACGTGACAAACTGGTGAATTTTTACTAGTCAGAAAAAAACGTTCGGAGCCGATAGGATTGAACGAAATCCATCGGTATATTTTCGATCGATTACAACTATGTCTCAGACCTATACCATATATTTGATGCAGGTATTCATGAAAACAACGATATATTGAGTTTATATCATTCATAAGTGAAATATATATATGTTTTTCTTGAGATATTTATTTTGGTGTTTAAGATGTGAAAAATACAATAACAAAAAAAAACACCATAATCTTCTTGTGTTCTAAACGCCTCAGTTTTTGTTCATTTTATATGGAACTAATGAACTCGTGATAAGCTAAACTAATGGCTTCGGCTGCTTTTAACACTGGCAAGATCGTTTCATTAAATGTTTTTTTATCCATATGGAGACAAATAGTAGTTGTTGTGGCTCGAATTGTTCCTTGAGCCTTTGTACTATAATACACCGGTGGACCTCCAAAATAATTTCCACGACTGAGTTCTTTCGTTTCTACCCGTGATGTACCACATTGCTTCGAAGCAAGTACGTTGCCTAAATAAAATGAGTTTTTTAATGTTCAGACAAAGAATCTCCTTATTTTCTCTTACTTACCTTTCGAAATGACGAAAAAGTGATTCACATTATCATCATTTTCGAAAATAACTTCATCTTTATCAATAATAATTGATTTAAATCTCGCTGCAATCATATCACGTTCAACTTCACTTAAGTGCTTGAATATATCGACATGTTTCAATAACAGAGACTTTTGCTCATGTGTCTAAATGATAAAAGATTCCTAAAGCAATTAAAGACAAGCCATTCACTTACAACAATTGACGATGATTCTTCTCGGTTAGTGGTAGCAGCCATGCCTAAAATGAACTAAAGCCGATAAACTATATTTACAGGGTGGCGCAAAAGTCACTTTACCGGAAAACATTGAATATCTCCAGTACAACTCGAGTGAATCAGCTGATTTTTTATCAATGATAGGGGAATGTTCAAGCTTTATAACCATAAAAACGTGCCCAGAGAACCCCTTTGTTAAGTATCATTATTGACCTCAACAAGAAAATTTTGGTTTTTTCACAGACAGGAAAAAAAATACTTAACAAAGGGTGTCTCTAGGCATGTCTTTATGGTTATAAAGCTTGAACATTCCTCTATTATCGATAAAAAAAATCCGTTCGTTTGCTCGAGCCGTAGTGAAGATATTTAATCTTTTTTCGGTAAAGTGACTTTTGCGCCACCCTGTATATACATATATATGAAAAAACAATCGTCATTCTATTGTTCTACTTTCTGTCTACATTTTGTCATAGACACAATAATTCAAGGGAGTGAAGACAATCACAAATACACTGAATCGAAAATAAGCGAAAAAAGCATATGAGAGAGATAGAGAGAGAAATGCACACGTATCGTAATACATATGCCTTTCGATTCTTTCTGAACCCTAGAATTATCGAGGCGATTGGAAAAAGATAGAAAGCAGAACGAAAGAATAAACGACGTTTGTTTTCTAAACTTTATTTGTATCCAAACGTACATATAGGAATTCCATATTTGTAACTCGATCATCTCAATAATGAAAAATCAGATAATATTCATTCAAAAGTGTGAAGATATCTCAGGATCGAATTGACATATTTCGATCTTGAATACTTTGTACAGAGATTTCGCTCGTTTATAAAGACATTGACAAAAAGACAACTTTTTTTTATGAATTTTCTAATCAATCTAAAAACAACTCACATTAGAGTACATCTCTCGAATATTTAAATCAATTATATTTTCTTACGCTTGAGCAAATTGTTTAGCTCTTATCTTGTTCACATAGGTTGTTCAGCTTGCTGTCTTCACAAATGCATGTATCTTTTATCATAACATAATCAGCTCAATCTTGTCGAATTGTCTTCCACAAAACTAAACAAATGATATGTTTTATTACAATCAAACAAATTTTCATATTAAACCTTCAGACACTAGACGATTTGTTGTTATTTGATTATTCGTTAAACACCATTCAGCACCATGGGCGAGCCACCAGGAGGCAATTGGGAGCAATTGCCATACTTAAAAAATTTTATAAGTCATCTACACAAGGTTCAAAACATATTTTTCTTCTATGATAATAAGATGTTGCGAGTTATTGCCTCACCTATTACAATATATTGCTACACCTCAATATAATATGCTGGCTCGCCTATGTTCAGTATCATACCATATTTTCAAATGTTTTGCTTCTCTAATATCTCGATTGATTTCATGATCATATATTGATGATCAGGTAAACTATATTCTGTAAAATATAAAAAATAATGTTCGAAATATTTGAATTTTCTTTTTACTATTATCATAAATAACAACTCGAATATATCGAAATACAACAACTGTTTTATTATCTGCTAATTGTTTCTTCATCAAAATTTTCGGTCTAAAATTTCAAAAAAAAATTTCTTGTCAAACTAATTTAATTAATTTGACTTGCTCATTCCATAAAGTTATTGAGATACTTGTATCTTCATCAATTAATGTTACTTCTACATGTTTTGAATTTCTATCTGATATTCAATTAGCAAATGATATTGTATCCGAACATATATCAATAATACCAATGACATCTTGATTTAAAAAACAAACAAACAAACAATACAAAGAAAAACTGCACAAGAAAAGAATTTTACCAATAAATGATTCATTTGAAGGTTTTGAAATATCACGTAGTGGAATAAAATCATAAAGTATATCAGGAATATTGGCATTTATAGAAGAATCATCAACTAATCGAATAATTGTACTTGATATTAATGTTAATTCATATATATATATATGACGAAGATTATTTCATCATTTATTTGTTGTTTTCACTCGAACATTCAAAATATCATAAATCTTTGATGAAAGAAATTTATTAGTTAAAGTAGAAGAATTCTTTTTTCTATACTTTATCTATTTCAATAATTGGATGAAATCGGGTACATTCGTCATAAAATGTAACTAAATAAATTTCATCACTAGTACCAACAAAATCAAAATCACATAGAGAAAGAGATCGAATTGGACTTTTAGCAAAATATTATTCATGAACTTTTCACCTTAAAGAAAACAAAAGTTTATGAGATAGATCGTATTACAAAACACAATGAATATTATACTCGTTATCATAATCCTTAGTTTACAGTTTCAATTAAAACTTACATTACATTTAAATAAGATATAATCATTTCTATTGAACAAATATTTGTATTTGATTGTTTATTATTATATAAAGTTGTCATGGAATATTCAAGCTAAAATAGTTAAATTAACAAGTATTGAAAAAAATCTATTAAATACTCAAATAATTCATTTACAATTATTCAAAAATACAACATACTTTTCAGTACGTGGTGAATTATGTATAACTTTTAACAATGACATTTTTGTGCAAACATTCATTGTTCTTTAATTAGTCTTATTTAATTCTGATAATAATATACGAGCTAAAGAAAATAAGAGTTCATCTTTAATCACAAGAGAAAAACTCAACGAACAAATCATCAAATATATCTTAACTATCGTTTATCGATAGACGATAACGTTCAGCATCACCACTAGTTATTTCAGCATATTCACATCACATACTCGAATACTCTAAATAATTGCGGAAAGAAAAAGAAAATAGTTTTTCAACAAAATAAATCTTCATACAGAAATTTTGACAGTTATTCATTGTTGAATATTTCCATTTTATATAATGCTTAAGTATTTATTTATTGTTCAATAGAAGAATATAGAGCAATAGCTGCCATCACCTCTTCCTCCTGTAATTAGACTCGTTGATACTATTGTATCAAAAGCATGAACCAATCCTTCCTCAATAATAATAGAGGGCGTTGCTTTGTTTAAGATTGTTCTAATAAATTTTGATAATAAAATCTTATTTAATTTTTATTTATTTGAAACAAAAATTTTTCTTTTTTATTTTGATAAAATTGTTTAGTTTTTGATTGAATCGAGCATACGATTGGCTGCGCTGCTTATTAGGTTCGATTCGATTTCGGTTTGTATATATTCTATACACACATTGGTTGGCACACTAACGAGTAAGAATGAAGAGGTGTGTGTATTCTGACTTACAGACAATAATTTGTTAAAACTTGATTTTTGTTCAACTGTTAATGTTAAAGTTATTTTCCTTATGTATATCAATCGTATATTACTTTCTTTATGTCATAAAATAAATAATTATGGAAATATTTTTATTTGATTATTAATGTGAAAGAATTCATTAATGTATTTGTCAAGAGACAAATCTGTTACATGGAGCAATTTTCTTTTATCATCAACAAAAAAAAATAATTGAACACATTGAACTAATGATAATTACCAAAAGTTCTATTGTAGTTTTCGAAAAATCGATTGGTATATATCGAGAGTCTACTTTAGAAAGCAAGCATTATAAACCTGTCATTATACTCGAAATCTTCAGAAAAACAAAAATCATATAATCATTTATTGAGTTCGATTCGATTCGATTCAATCTTATTCGTGTCCATAATGAATATTACATGATTAATCAGTTTGCATATTGTCTAAACATATGGTCTTGCAAATCATATCTCGGTAGAGCTGATAGCGTCCATAAAACTTGAAGATCTTGAAAGAATTTTGTGAATTAATTTCGTGCGAAATTTTAAGAGAAAACAATATTTTTTGCACATCTGACAGATTGAGTTCATTATATTTGATTAAAATAAGTATACAGTGTTCGACCAAGAAAACTTTCTATTAAATATTTCAAGTTTCTCTTACATTTTATAAGACCACACAGAGTTTTTCAAGTATCAATGTAACAAGTGTTTTTCATTTAGATATTTATTAAATCAGCTAATCATCTATGTCATCACATATTTTGAATATCAATCGTATATCTCGTTGTTTAAATAATATAAATATTAAATTAAAACAGTGATTAGCCATATATTGAATATACGTGAGATTTTTCGTAAATATATTCATGTATGCCGACTTAATACATCCTTATTCTATTTGCAATAAGTTAAATTCGTCTTTACTTTTTCCAGAATTTATTTTCAGTAAATGATATGTCTGTTTATTTTCGTTCAATCTTAAAATGTGTTAATATTTTAGATTAGTAATTCGATATCATCAGTTATTTCATGCTGAACTTGATTGACTTGTATGGAAATGTAAAAATATCTACTTTATATATTATTCTTGATTCGTATGTCTTTTTCTTTAGTGATATTAACATTATTACGATTAATTTCAGTCTATGAAGTACTTCAATATAATTTTCTTATTACTATTAAATATTACATATGAATCATTACTTTATCAAAGATGACGGGAATACTGAATCTATATTATAGTGACCTTGAACAAATCATATCTAAATAATTGTATGTAAAGCATAGATTCTATTATTTCATAAATATAGTTTGTCATGTAGAAATAAATTTGAAAGGAGCAAGGTGAATTTTACTAACAGAATCAGATCCGATTTGAAAACTAAGGTAACATTTCACGCGTCATGTGCAGTTCTAAAAATAACTAACTGTAATCTTATAAAATATTTTGCGCAATTTAGTACATCTTGAGAAAATATTCTTATGATTTGAGCTTTGTAGAGTATGTAGGAGAAAATTTCAGCTTGAAATACCATCATTCGATTTGTTAGTTCATAGGGATAGACCAGCTCAAGCAATACATGGCAAGGTTAAGAAAAGTATTACATGCTACATTACAGGGGACGGATGTCATAAGCTGTCAACTAAACAATAGTTTTTTGCAATGGATATGTTCAACATATTTAGATAAGACAAAAGAAAGAAGCATATTTATAAGTAAATGAGATGTGTCCC